AGATATTATTGTGCAAGAAGGAAACTAAATATACTAAAGTCCTAAATTGACTAGATTTTGATTTTGCTTGGCTTGCACTCCAAACAAATCCCATCACACGCCCATCATATTTCGGCCGCCTCATTCGCACGCCCTAACCGCCTTGCGCGCGCCGACCTTCGAAACCTAATCCTTGTCGCGCGCGGCTTCGCGCGCGCGCGTTTCCCACGCGTCACCATCTGCGCACGCCTGCTGGTCGCGGTCTTCCTCTCGCGCGTGTGCGCTATCGCCTAGTATGACTATGCCTTCTCGGTCGAGGCCCGTGACCGCGTCTTCGCTGCACTCGCGCGCCTTCGTGCGCGCTCCTTCCCAGCTGGCCCTCTTGCGCGCGTCTACGCCAACGTCCGAGCCCCAGTCGTCTACGGCGCACCCCACCGCGCCTGCTCCTTCGCACGTCGCATCCATTGCCTGCGGGCTCCAGTCTCATCCTGCACTTCCTCGTGCGTCCCCGACGTCGCTCGCACCTCCCCCGTCCGGGGACTGCTCACCCGTGCGCCAACCGCGCCCTGTCGCTACGCCCCCGAACGCCAACGCGTCCCAGTCGACGTCCGCGACTCGCCCGCCAACTGAATTCCCGCGCAGATCGTCCTGTTCCGTCCACCCGCGCGCATCATGGGCCGATGCGCGCCATTCGCCCATGAGCTGATCGCCGTCGCCCTCTTCGTCGGCGATCGCCACCGTTGGTTCGGGCCATGGATCCCAACCATCCAACCTAGCACAATCCTCGGCCGGTATCCACCATCCTTTGTCAACCCATCGCAACCCACGCCTTCTAGCCTCTTTCTTTCGTGCTCGTCTCTTCCTTGTGCAAGGTTTACACCAACAGTAGGATTCCTTGTCCTTTGCCTTGCGTTTCCTTCGGGCTCGTTTGGTCTTGCGCTTCTTGTTCTTCAACTTAGCCCGTGGACCACATCCTTTCGGCCAGTCCCTCTTGCATGATGGTCGATAAATCGGACTACATGGCTCCTCCAACATGTTTTCCAACCAAATATCGAGACCATCGTCACCCTCCTCA